TCTAGAAGCGAAACTATTTTTGTTTTATGCTGTTTGACCAAGAATGATGGTAAACGTTATTTGACATTAAAAAACTCAAATGACTCAAAATGTAGAGACGTGGCTTAAAGTGCATGTAAGAAAAGTCATTTTTCCTCAGTGAAACTTTCTATGGAACAATTAACAAAATAGAGACGTGCAAGCAAACTTGCTTAGCTTTGTTCATTTCTCCACTGCTTTGAATTCTTATCAAGATACTGTTTTTACTAAGAAAAAAGCACATTCTGCCAGGATGGAAACAGAACCGCTGCTTTGCCACAAACCACATACCAAGGTTTGTCTGCTAACTTCCTTTGTTGCATGCCATTTGCCATTCATGCTACAGTTAAACAGCCCCTATTGTTGTACTGATACACAAAAATTTGAATTCCATTTACTGTATGGCAATGTTTCCAGATTTTTTCCAGCTTTAATCAGTTTTCAGTGTTTTTATTTATTTATAAACTGTAAAATACAATACTTTTATTCTTTTTTTCTTTACATATTCATAACTTGGATAATAAAAAAACCTTTTCTAAAGAAGACCTTTTGTGTTTCAGTTATGTTGACACTAAGATACTCTTCAGTGAGGAAATGTTTAATTTTGTGGCTATGCTTCATCCCCCCCAAAATGCATTTCTTTTCACTGTTTGTCAGTTTGTTTATTTTTTCTTCCTCAGCGTACCCTGCTGTCAGCCTTTGGGTGGTCTCAGTTTCCTCATTGTGTTTGATGGCACTCCCCTTTCTGAACCTGTGATTGGCCGGCGCTCTTGTAAAAGGGAAGTCGGTTACTTATCAGTGACATTCCAGTTTCGAAACTTGCCATAAGAGGAAATTAGTCTCAGTCGAGTTCCAGTGAACGGAGGACAGTGCTGCCATCTTATTTCTGGTGATCTAAGGGTTTTTCCTTTTTTTGACAGACTGACAGTTAACAGGCTGATAACATGGACCACTGCGGGCATCAGATAGAAGAACAGAATCTGAGGCTAAAGCTGGGGATGTCTTGACAGCTTCTTTCTATGAAGGCCTTCGGAAGGCCTTTGGGTTGACCTGCTTAGACTCAGCACCTTTAAACAAATTCCAGTAGAGGGCATACTCTGACAACATACAGACTTTTAAGGTTTGTCACTAAATTAATATTGCTGCTGCTTTGAGGATATTTTTCACCTTCATCAAAGTGAAGTCTTTTTTTAGTAACAAAATAATTGTTCTCAATATAGTTTTTTGTTTCTGGTTAAATTGTATGTTAACACCAGTACCTCAAAGAAGTGTATGTAATTGCAATAATAGTTTTTATATATATATATATAAAAAAAAAAAAAAGGTTTATGACAATCATCACAAACTGAGCCAGAAATGTAGAATGTAGAAAAAGCCTTATGATGATTTTAAATGTAAAACTTTAAACCGTACGTTTAGGCAGGCAGTTAAACCTGATATGCTGAGTTAAACAAGGAAGTTGATGAAGGGAAAAAAAAAACTGATCTGGTTTGTCTTGTTTTTAGAGGAGGTTTGACTTGCAAAGAGAATACAGGAAGCACAGTGGTGAAAGGTCATTTCTGCATGCCAGCGCTGAACACCGAGGATTTTAAACATGCTGAAGAAACTATTGGCCTGTTTGTCCCTCTTTGTCTTCATCAGCCTTTTGTTTTATGCTGTGGTTTTATTCTACGGTAAAAACCTTAATTTTTCAACTGCAGCTGTTCCTCGCATTGTATTGAACAGAAACCAAAATTTCTCCTGGAAGATTCAGGATGATTTACAGGTGACTGAAATCAGCCATGAAATCACAGTGGTGCCAGTCATCTCAAACAGGACTTTGGAGCCTTGCCCTGAAACCCCACCAAATCTTGTGGGTCCTCTCCTTGTGGAGTTTAATACAAAACGGACATTAGAGGAGGTTACACAGCAGGTTGGTTCTTCACTTCAGCCAGGAGGACGCTATAAGCCAACTGACTGCATCTCCCAACACAAGGTAGGTCAAAATCTGCATTAAAAGTTCATGGCAAAAATGTTCTAATAATATCTCCTTTTACCAATTGTGAACTTTTTTATTCAAGAAACATTAAATAATTTCATAATGTCATGAGATATTGGTTTATTTTACATTTAAAACAAAGAAATCCTGGAAACCATTTCAGAATAAAAAACAGAGAGGTTTTTGATGTTGTCACATCTATAAAGAGCTTTTTGGGTTATTCGTTTCCTCATAAATGTACAAGTTTAACCAATTTTATTGGTGGTTTGAATGTCTGTGCTTTTCTTTCCAGACAAACAAGAGTTTGTTTAATGTCAAACTTCTCAAAATTATTTTCATTTATTTTTATTACATTCACATTGAGAGCTCTTTTTTTGGATTTAATATATATATATATATATATATATATATATATATATATATATATATATATATATATATATATATATATATATATATATATATATATATATAGATAGATAGATAGATAGATATATAGATATATATTAATATCCTTTAATCTTTAATTTTCCTTCATGTTTCACAACCTGAAATTAGTTTTCACTAACCCCCCCAAAAGAATAATAACAACATTAAAGACGAAAATTAAATTATGAAATGATGAAAATGACAACATCCCTGAAAAAGTGAAGAGATTGACATCCTTAGAAAAAGCTAACTAGGTTTCTTTCCTTTTTTCTTAATGTAGATTATAGAAGATTAGACTTGTTTATAAGAGCCCTTTAGTTAAAAAAAAAACAACAAAAAAAAACTTAGAGGTGGACATACAGTAAATGCCATTTCAATAAACTAACATTTTAATGTTAATATTCCTACAAGTAAAAGAAAACCTTAGAATAATGTTTGTAAAAGAACATTTATTACTACTAAAAAGAAGTTATGTAATTTAAAACTTTTATTCTTTAGAGGAGATCTATCAAAGAAATCCCTAATATCTGAAATTCACTGACAACCACAAGTGTTTTTTTGTTGTTTTCAGAACATAAAAAAACTATCAAATGAAAGTAATCTCACCTGGGCTATTGTTCTTTTTTGTTGTTTTTTTTTTTTATTTTTTTGTTTAGGTAGCGATCATCATCCCATTCAGAAATCGACACGAGCACCTCAATCATTTGCTCTACTACATTCATCCTATCCTGATCCGCCAGCAGTTGGATTATGGCGTGTATGTCATCAACCAGGAAGGGGAAGGAGTGTTCAACAGAGCTAAGCTGATGAATGTTGGCTTCCTTGAAGCTCAGAAGGAATATGACTATGAGTGCTTCGTCTTTTCTGACGTTGACCTTGTGCCCCTCGATGACCGTAATCTCTACAGGTGTTTTGATAATCCAAGACATTTGGCTGTTGCTATGGACAAGTTTAACTTCCATCTACCCTATACTACCTACTTCGGTGGGGTCTCCTCGCTGTCCAAGCAACAGTTCTTGAAAATTAATGGCTGTCCAAACACTTACTGGGGATGGGGTGGAGAGGACGACGATATTTACAGGCGGGTCGTCTACCGTGGGATGTCCATTTCTCGACCGGATGGTGTGACTGGGAAGTACAAGATGGTCAGGCATCAAAGAGACAAACATAACGAACCTAATCCAAAGAATCCTGACAAACTTGCTAAAACTAAACAGACTATGGATAAAGACGGACTAAATTCCCTTAGCTACACAGTTAAGGAGATCTTAAAAAGACAATTGTTTACTTTTATTACTGTGGATATTCAAGCGCCTGCAAGTTAATGACAAGACAAGTGGAGAAGCATAGGGGGAGCTGTAATATTGAAGTATTTGTAAAGCTATTGTATTTTAAATAGCCTTGATTGGTGAATGGGGTAGAATATATAAAAATGTGTATGCATAAATGTGTCCAGGGATGCTATAAAATGAATGTGTCACAATTATTGTGCAAATTTTGACATCACTTAGATTATTATTTTTTTATATATATATATATATATATATACAGTCTATAAGAAAAAGCTAGACATGAAAGCTCATAAAAAAGTAAACATTTGATCGTTTTCATCTCTGTGAGAATTGAAGTTAAGCTTAGATATCTGTGTGATGTGTGTAACTGAAGCACTTTATCTAACAAAGATATCAGCATCAGAATTTGTTTCTTTTGTTTAGTAGAAGTCTGTTGGGATTTTTTCTTGTGTGTTTTTAGTTTGTCTCTTTACAGTCCTTATTTTTATTTATAGGTCTTGATTTGAGTTACAAAATATAAGTTCATAATAATTAACCAAAGCTTTTTCTTTTGGTGTTGCCTTATTTTTAGTTTGCTTATTGAGAATTAAATAAAGTGCAGAGATGGGTGCCTTAGTTAGAGCTATTGCCTAGAGCAAGTTGGATAATTCTTTGGAAATTCCCTTGTTATTCAATATATATTAGGACAATATGACTTGAATTAGAAATGCTCATTCTCTGTTACAAGCAGCATGACCACAAAAAAAAAAGGCTGTGCTGATGGAATCGACTGTAAATCTACAGATTACTATGTAATCTTAAAGGATTAAATTTGACTTTTTTAGGTGATTGGTTCCTATAAGATGTAATATTACCAGGAGATTGTTATAAAGATGTCAAAAGTGGTGGAAGAGAGCAATTTTGTCAGCCAAAAAAATATATTAATGTATTTTAACTGATTTGGTGAATAAACTGATTGGGAGTCTACTCATTTAAAAATATGAAAGCTGTAAAGTTGATCATAGTGGTAAAGGATCGTTCTACTATAGGCATAGATCTATTAACGAGAAGTTAATTTAATAGTAGTTTTCCCCTTTATAAAACAATAAATACTGTAGTTTAAATCAGAAGCAGCTAGCATAGAACACCTACCTTTGGGATTTTACTGTGGAATTTTTCCCTTCTGTTTTTTTGTGGTATTTAAAAGCAATCAGTACAACTGCTGGAAACACCTATGGCCCAATAGGAATTTTAAGTGACAGGGCAGGAAAAACTAGTAAAACACCTCCATCATCTAACAAAAATGACTGCAGAGGAAAAATACCTAATATAAGTTTGCTTAAACCACCTAGCACAAGAACAAAAGATCCAGTTAGGTTAATTATTATAGTATGAATTACACAACAAATACATAAAGTTTCAACTTTTCCATATAAAACTATTTCAGTTTTTCTTCTCAGGGAAGAATCCATTAAAAAATACTTTAAAATGTACAAATTATCTTGAATTTATTTCTTAGCATCAGTCCTGCTTTTTTATTCCTACACTTTGTCTCATGTTGTTGCCCGGTTTAGAAAAAAAAAGGATTTCATTTAAACTAAAGTTGATTTTCATCTTTATAATTCTTTAAGCTTTTTTTTGTTTGTTTTATTATTAAAAATTGTTGGCAAAAGAAACAATATCTTTGATGACAGATGTAAGTTTTATTTGGTAATTAGAATAACAACTGTGGTTTTCTTATAACTTTAAAATAATTTCTATAATTTGTGTCACGGGGAAGTACAACTAAGGTTTCTACTTATTTCTACTTATACTACTTATTTGGTAATTAGAATAACAACTGTGGTTTTCTTATAACTTTAAAATAATTTATATAATTTGTGTCACAGGGAAGTAAAAGTAAGATTTCTACTGGCATTTAGCTTTTATATCCTTTACTTTGTAACACCTTTGCTATTTTAGAAATGAGATAGTTATCATAACCGAAATGCTTCTGCACCGTTGTCAGCTCACAGTGATTAATGGTGATGGTGTTAATGCACAGCATGGTGAAAGGTCACATTTAACAGAAATAGTTTAGAGAACAGTTAAAATGAACTATTTCTATGGCCCATGAGTTTATGGTTATGAGTCCAAATTCCTTATGTGACTTAGTTCTTATCAAGTCATTGCTGATCATTTGCAACCTGGTCTTTGCTGATTTATTTACACCCGTTTTATCACCTACTGTCCTACAGTTAGAACCATATTTAAAATTTTTTGAAGTTTAGTAAATAATACTCAGATTTGCATCTTTCCCTGATGTGGTTAAACAGTGAAAACAATGTCTACAGCTTTCTTTTGCTTCAGCATAAAGTAATATTCCATTTCCCCCACATTGGGTTGGATTAGTTCATTTTTAAGTCTTGAAGTTCAAGTCATGTATAAACATACCCTTCTGTAATGTCCCTTTGGGATCAGTGGGCTGCCATCGTGGGGCGCCCAGGGAGCAAGCGGGGGTTAAGGGTCTTGCACACAGACCCAGAGTGGCAGTCTGTGGGAGTGGGGCTCGAACTCAGAGCCTCAGGATTCCAGGGTCTATGCCCGAACCACTAGGCTGCCACTCCCTATTGTTCTGTAGCGTCTGTCTGATGCAACTTTGTCTCAACCTATATTCCATCACAGAGCTCCTCTGGTTCTTTTTTAATTCATTGCAAGGTGTAACTTAAGTTTTTTTTTTTAACCTTTAATCATCCTCACTGATTTAAAATATGTTCATGAGTTGATGAGAGTCTCAAAGCTTAACAGATCATTATATAAGTTTCTTTATGCAGTTTGTGATGCATTTCTATGCAAGAATTTATTCAAATTTCTTTTTTAGTGAATTGTTATTAAAATGTGAGGAAGTAATCTTATAAAGAGACATTTAATTATTTTTTTCCTGCTTTTTCTGAGCTTCAACATGAGAGCTCTTCACATGTCCTCGTATACAAGTGAAATGGAAACTAAAATTGTAGGGTGTAAGGTAATTTGGATTCTTGAATCATAAGAATTAAAACAGATCACTGAACTAGTTTGACTGTTTAAGATGCTGATCAGTTAATATTAAGGCTTCTGCACAAGTTTACAATAACTTGCTTTTGTTTATTAAACAATTGTTTTTAGGTTAATTATTAGTTAGAGCTTTAGAGGCTTTCGTTTGACCTTTTTGGTTCTCACTTCTCATCTTGTGATTCATAATCTAATTTCATTTTGCATCTCTTGAGCTAAAATTTAATTTATTCAGATACTTCCTGCTTTATTCTTTTAGGAAAATTTGAGTTTCTCACAATAAGGAACTACATGCTTGATGTAGTGCTTACTGAAAGCCATGTGACTATTAAATAACTCTTTAAAAAAAACACTAAAATCTTTGTTTGAAAAGTAAAAAGTCCCATCAGTGGAGGAAATGCATTAATGGCATGCACATGTTCCGCAAACACAGTCTACTTACCTTCCTCTATTTGTTTGTAGAGTGTCAAACTTGTTCAATCACTGAGTCAAAAAACTGGTTTGCTAAGAGATTATCCACAAGAGGGGTGACTAAAGCAACAATGCTTTGACATAAACACCTGAGTAAAAGGTTAAATATAGGCAAGAAAATTTAAGGTAAAAGGTGAGAGAAAGAAATCCATGAAATCTGACTAGTGTCAACTAACTGCTTCTGTTTATTTAGAAAAGTTAAATAACTTTTTTATATATATATATTTTGTTTAGGGTTTTTTTCTTCTGTGTTTTTATGTCTAAAACATTTGCTAATGCTGCTGTTGAAACCAGCAGCATTAGCACATTTGAATATGTACATCCCCATGTAAATTTGGAGTCAGTGGATACGTACCTGAATGAGTGCTTTGCTGCACCAGTTCAACTCCACTACTATTCCTCAGTGTGTGTTGGGAAGCCCACCCCCACACCGTCAGCCCCCTTTTCTCCATTCACCTCCCCATCTTTCTATCCTCCTCCCTGCCCAGCCCCCTCTTCTCATTGGCTGACCTAGTGGAGTTGCTATGGGAACAACTGCCAAGAGGCTGCCATGCAGAGTGTGGGGTGCTGCTTTGGAATGGTTCTCCATGATACACTAACTGCCACACATTTATTGAGGTCAGGGATCCCTTCTTATCAAGATGACATCATTTTCAAAAGGCTTGAAGATGAATTTTCTACACATTAACTCTACTTTCAATAATGTACTCTGGATCCATTTTCTGAATTGTTTTGTGCACATGCAATAAATGATTCAAAGGCTCAATCTTGAGTATTATTTACACACAAGAATCCATCCCTCTCACTTATCTTTGCAGCAAATGTAATTGTTTGCTTTGTTCAGATTTTTTCTTATGTAAAATAGTTAGATTAGAAATATAGGAATGAAAACCTTAAAAGAACTGCAATTATGCTAAAATGTTAATGCTGGTTTTGTTTTGTTATTTGTTTATCTATAACAACTTAATCTAAATTCTCGGTGTGGTTGTGAAAATTGTGCAGTACTTTTGTTTTAAACAGTTACTGGTGAAGAAACTGTTGATCAAATCAAGTGGATCTCAAAACATTAGAACGTAATAGACAGCTTCTTTATTTTGGTTATGTTTTGGTCTTCATAAAGAGCGGTGACTCCACAGTTGATCACCCTCCAAAGGAAGAGATTGTTGCTGCTCTATCAAAGACGATTTATGGAAATTTAAGTGAAAGGAAAATTGTGCACAAGAACTAAGAAACACTCACAGCTTTTTGAATAATTATGGAGCAAAGCTTATTAGGGAGTATTAAACATCTTCAATGGGCTTTTGTATATTTTTTGACCTGTTTGCAAACTTGTCTGAACTAAAATCCATAGCGATGATATCGGATATCATCAATAATGAAAAGAGAGACAAAAAACTAACAAAGCAGCTGGGCTAAAAGCCGCTGATGAAGTAACCTCAGCAGAGATAAAAAGCCTGATAGCGTCAATGCCACACAGTGATGCAGTTAGAAGGAGACTTGAAGAGGGATTGAGTGCAAACACTTCTTACTTGATTGGCATATATGTTAGAAATAATATTAAAAAAATTTTCTTAGTTTATTGTAATATTAAAATTTTCTGATGATAACAACTTTTAGATTGCATCAGCTGTTAGCCATTTTCAAAACATAAAAAGAAGCAGTGTCTTGAAATATAATCTGTTTGATGGACTGTTCAATCAAATTAATTTTTCAAATTTTGTTTTTGCCATATGATATTCGAATTTATAGAAGTGCACCTGCATTAAATTTAACAGTGTATTTAGTTCAGATTATTAAGAGCATATGAAATCATGAAAAAAAAAAAAACTTTAACATTAACCTGTACGAATGGCAACATGCAGAAGTGTCATGTTTCTCACATGCTATGCTATGTCAGCGACACAAGTAGCAGTCTCAGTCAATAACAGTCGAAACTGAAACATAATATTCAGCTTTTCAAGAAGCTTGTAGATGTCTTAGTTACTGGAGCTCCTGGGCAGGGCTGCCTGCTGCTTTACCTTGATCTGGTTACCACAAAACAGTGGAGGTCAGCTTTCAACCAGCACTATAGAAAATAGACTGCTTGCTTATCTTTATTTTTAAATGGGTTATTTTCCCCACAAACTGTCCATCGCTGGAAACAAATGAAAAAGTTATTATACACCTAAAGTGCCTGTGGTCTGGTGTGCTGCTTAAAAAATGTTATTTTATAGTTCCATACCTTAAGTTTATCATTCCATGATGATGCATTGCTCTTCGTTAACTTGAACAAGAACCTTACAGTTCAGCAAAAAAACCTAAATTCTGTTTGTGTACTTTCAATAGATTTATGCACTAGGAGCAAACACTGAGTAGAAATGCCCTCATCCTGCAGATTAATGACAAGATCAGCTAACATATATATGCATGCTCCAGCACGCAGTATTCTCACTGTCAGCAACCTTGGCTTTGACGAAGTGTGCTGGTAGAAGTGAGTGTCTTACGTAAGGCTTTTATATAAATCTCAGTGTGCAAAACAAGAGAGAGAGAGAAGGGGGAGCTGCTGCACTACTAACAAAGGGGATTGCACTGCACCAAATCCGTCTCCATATGCACTTATGCACTTTGTCAACTATGTGCCTGCTTGTTATAGTAATATCCACATTTTCTGAATCAGGTTAGTATATTCAATGTTGTTCAAGATGACTTTGAATCTGATAGGTTTGAAATCTGTATGAATCAGCTGTTTTCTTGTTTTAACCTCATTGCTGTCTGACCCCATCTAGCCTTTCCTGCTGGAGAGCAAAAGAGGGTCAAAGCCTTTATCAGTCGTTAGAAAATATTGATTCATACATAGCTGACCTATTTACAAATCTGATTTAGCTGTTTTCCAATTATTTTTTTTTTCATTCAGTCTGATTCAGTCTTCATTCAGTCTGAAAATAAAAGTTACAGATATTCTACTAATTTTGCTCTGATAAGAAAATAGGATAAAATGATCCCACATTCTAAGAAATCGATGTAAACGTAGATTGAAAGAGTCAGGTACTGATGTGTTAGCGCCAAAATATTTAATTAATGGAAAAACAGTTGTTGGAGCAGTGTGAGGCTGACGATTGAAAAACAACACCCGGAAAAAGGAAAACATAGCATGCTGTTTGTTGGTGCAACAAACCAAGACCCACTCACACGAAATTCTAAATTTACGATGAGAAAGGAAGAAATGTTCCAACAACTTGGAACTGATTTTGGCAGCAGTATGGTTGCCTCAGGAGTGCATTTATGTAACATCAAAGAAATAAGGGAGGTATCATACAGGTTTGACTGAAACTCTGGCTCTGACAAGTGAAAGCAGAATTACATCAGCTTAGAAACAGAGTTAATGTATAACAGTCAGTTCAGTATTACTCCTGTTTAGCATATTCAGTTTTGTATAGACAAAGTAGTTTTAATGTTTTGTAAATTATGTCGGTGAAATTTGTAAGTAAAAAAATGGATAAATACTCTAAGGAAAGAGAGAAATTAAGTTAACATAGATGAAAATGATAAATTCAAGTGAAAACAACACTGTAAAGGATTTTGGTGCCAAAATGATATGATATTTAATAATGATGATAATATAAAAAACTTGCCATTTGGATAATAAAATGAATTTTTTTTTATTCAAATGGCATTTTTTCAAATCATGCAAATTATTTTCAAAATGTTTTATTTATTTTTCTCCTTTACTAAAATCATCAATGGGGATTATCATCTTTTATTCCACTTCAGAGCAACTGTCTTGATTAGAAATGTGTTCACCACACCCACTCATTTCAGCTGGAAAAGGGTGGCAAGCAATTATGGTTGCTTTTTAATTTATTGTTATCATATTTTGTTTAAATACACAATAAATTAGTATATGTATATTTTTCTCCAATCTGTTATCAGTAATTAAAACATTATGACTTGATTTAATGATGCATTCATTTATTTGCTGAATTGTGACACGTATGGACTACCAAAAATTCCAAAGTCCATTGTTAAATCTTAAAAAATAGAAGTGACAATGACAATATGTGATTAGATTAGGTCCTGATGAGCAAAGTAAGTCATGGGAAAAAACATAGGATTTATGAACAGGACAAAATATCAGACATTAAAAAGGTGCTTTGCTACAGTACCAAACCTGTAATTTTATTTTGGGAACACTTGACTCTCAGTTATCATATCTATCATGGTGGGTGGAAAGTAAAAAGATTTTCATTAATTTTAACTTGTGCCCCTTAAGCTCTGACAGATGACCCCTGAGGGCCACAAGCCACACCCTCTTTTATGAATAAACTGCTGCTTTGCAAAGCTAGACACGTTAAGCAGAGGTTTGTCTTTCAGAGCATTAGAGACCAAGAAAACAGGTAAATCTTGCTTTATTGCCTTTCTGTCATTACCTTAAGTTGAGAGTAAATGACCTATTATACCTACAATATTAAGCTACATTCAGTTTAACAAACAGCTGCGGTGGATCCTGAAATCAAATTATAGAATGTGCATCAGCAGAAGAGGCAGTCCTTTAGTTTGCTTAACTTTTTTTTTTTACCTTTTTAAGAATGTCCGACTTATAACAGTACAAAAAAGTACGTCCTTGTCAACCATTCACATCAAAACTTGCCAAACAATCCAGAAAAAGAAGGAAGTTCCCCCAACAAGTTGATACAATCACAGTTTGAGATCTGAGCTGTTTTTTTTCTTTGTTTGTTTTATTTTTACTATTATTGATTTTTTATTTTTATTTTTTTCGGAAGTCTGAAAACATAAGAAAAACGCACTTAGAAAACTTGCTTTTGTTACATGTCCTTAGAGGACAGACTTAACCAGTGTAAGCTACAAAGAGAGCAACAGATGTCGTACAATGTGCATAAAGTGAAACTCTTCACCTCTCAAATGATCTTCCCTGACTTTTGTGCCTTGTGTGCACTGCATGCTGAGAGTAATGACATGTGTGAGCATGCTTTTCTTTAATCTGACTCTTCTGTTTGTATACAGTGAGGATGCATCAGTGCAAAGGATCTCTCCACGTGTTATATTGCAAGATTTTGCAGGTTTAGTTAAATTAGAGTAAATCCCAGAGAAGTAAAAAAAAAAGTCAATAAAGTATGTGGTAGAGGTGGGAATCACCAACAACCAAATGTCAAAATTAATAAGTCCACAAACGGGTTACATTTCTCAAAAAAAAAAACAGTAAAATGTGTTTTCTTTTTTAGCCATAAAGTCACACAGCTGCATTAGCTCTACTTGTATTTATGCATCTAAAAAACAGCATTGAACTTAGGGAATGGTCAAAAGAATACCATTTTCGAAAGTGAATGACGATAAAAAATATACTGTTCCAGGAATTTAGAGGAAGAAAAAGCTCAAATTTATGAGTTGTTTGTTATGAATGTTTTTTTTTTTTTTAGCTTTGGCTATAAAATCACAAGATTAGGAGGTAATTCATTACAAATCAAGCAAGGAAAATATGTAAAACGACAGTAAACTTTGATTGGAGTAGGTCCTTATAAGAAAACAGTAATGTCACAAGGAGTTTCATACAAAAGATGTCAAAGATAAAAAGGTGCTCTGTTGCTTTTTCCATAGTAGTAAATGAAATTTAACAGGTCCGTAGTTTTTTCACAAACTTGTAGTCGAAGAATGTATTATCTCTGTTCAAGGATTGTCAACAGGTAGCCTCCAAAGTGCAAAGATTGGTAAAATGTTAATCCAGCTTCTTTGGAGTCTCCTTTTGTCTGAAATGAACAAGGCTACTGATTTTTTTTTTTTTCCAGAGAGCCAAAAGAAACATAGGAAATCCCTTGAGATCTGAATGGAATTTATAAGCTGATAATTCTACAGCTCAGGATTTTCAAGGAAAGCATTTGGTTCTGAACAACCAGGCCTGTACTATCATACATTTAACCCCAGTGTTAGACAAAAAAATTCTTTCAAAAATAACTACTTCTTGGATATGGCTCCTCCAGTTGTGTTGGCAGGCTTGTTTCCAGAACGTCGAACTGGAACCTTTGACACAGGGATTCTGGTGCGAGTTGGTTGGGGTGCTTGGGTCTTTGGCAAAGGGGTTTCTGCCTCCAGTACAGAGGACAGAGCTGACTGGCTTACAGAGTGGGGAGGTGAGGTTTGTCTGGTGCTTACTGGAATCTTGGAGTCTCGTGGAAGGCTGGTGCTGCCTTTCAAAGATTGGAACGAAGAAGAGGATGAGGTTGAAATTGGACTTTTTTGGGAGGTGGGACTCATTTTAAAATCTGCAGATGGAGAAGGGGTACTGTTTAGATCATCATCTCTCCTCTGATCTTCTCCCTCTTCAGGATCGGTGTAAAGGTCGTAAAGGTGGTCCCCAGAACAGCTATCCCTTGAAAGGGCAATCTTCTGGTTTCGTTGCACCCCGCTCTCATCAGGTGTGGCTGTAGGTGTTGCTGAGGGAGTATCCCAGTATCCTTCATCGCTGAGTAGTTCTTTTTCTCCAGGTGATACAGTATGACGGCCATGTGCATGAGGGAGAGGGGGTTTACCTGCCCAGCTTCCTGCTCCGCCAACGACTGGAATCTTACTGAGACCCAGCGCCTTCACCGGTGCTTTTCTATCTGCACTTCTTTGAGTTGAGGGACGATGTGTACTAGGAGAGGTGGTGCGAGGAGGATAGGTGGATGTAAGGGTACTGCAGGAAGGCTGGTACTGATGTGGTAAAGAAGGGGAGCTCTCTCCTGCAGAAGGCAACATGTGCCAGAGTCCCTGCATATCTGCATCATCCACCCCTTCCGGGCTTGCCATTTCTTCACCCCCTCCCATGTAAGCCACCACACCACTACCAGGAGGGTGTTGCGTCGGAGGAGGAGGCACTCGGGTCCTCGCAGGGAGGCAGACAGGTGTGGAACTTTGAGCAACAGAGTACATGGGCTGGGTGATCTGGGGAGGTAATGAAGGTTTGGTTGGGGAAGCATGGGTTGTTGCACTGGATATACCAATGGTTCTCCCAACACTGGCACCCAGACTACCCCCTCCACCCCCACTGCTACTACTACTCGTACCACTTCCACCATTACCCCCTGGCCCTTCCTCCTCTGCATCAGCAATAATGTCTCCACAACCAGTCAGAGAATCAAAGCTCTTCAAGGATGTGACATCTGTAAAAAGGATTGAACACAGTCGATCTACCGAGGGCTCTGAAGGTTGGTCACCCATGCTGCAGCGATCCAAAGGGGGTGTAATAAGAGAAGGGGTGAGACTAGATACAGAAGCTTTGGCTTTTTGGATGGATTGGCGCAGTGGTGAGTCGGTGGGTGTGTAAGGAATCGGGGAGTCTGGCTCACCAGATGGTCCTGGCATGGCAACACAGTGTGTGGGTGTCATGGTAACACTAGTGGTGGGAGTGTCTGACCCATGGAGGTTAGATCCTGTCTCTGCATTTTCACAGTCCTCCTGGTGATGATGAGGAGGAGGCTCAAGGGTAAGAGTAATGTCCTTCATGTTTTCAGATTCTGCAGCCTCCATGTCCCTTTCTTTCTTACTTCCCACCTCTTCTCCTTCAGCTTCATTTGTTTTCTCTTTACGCCTCCATCGCATGCTGCTAAAAAAGCCCTTCAGGCCCCTCCCTCTTCTCACAATCCCTGCCCCACCATTTTCACTTGTTCTAAAACTCCCTCGTCGGAGAAAGGAGAAGAAACTCAAGGATTTGCTAAGCGACCTCACCGGTCCTGCCTCCAGGCTAGTAAGGCCCTCCCCTCTCTGTCCCATAGCATCGCTATTAGAGCCTGATAGCCCATCATGTGTTTTGCTCCTCACAAGCTCTGCTGATGCCGCTGAGCTGTTTCCATTCAAAGAATTTCCGTTTTCAGAATTCCCGTTGTTTCCGCCGTTTGCTGTACCTTTGTTCCTGAAGGAGAAGAAGCTGGCCATTCCAGAGCCAGTGCGTCGCTTCCCAAAGAGTTTAAAGGCAGCTTTGTTGATCTTCCCTGCAGGCTGAGTGTCACACTGTGGAGCCACATGAGGCTCTACACAATCCGACTGCACCTCCATTATCCAGCACTTTGTTGCTCCCACACGATTGTTTCTCTCTAGTTTCTCTGACTGTCTTTATGTCCTTTCCCCTTCAGACACACAAGTTCTTTCTTCTACCTTCCACCCTAATAACTGGTGGTCCTTCACTCCCACTCTGGCTTGCTTTAACGCCTTCCTGCTGGTTTTCTCTGCCTCCCTCCCTTCCTCTCATCTCTCTCTCTTTCTTCCTCTCTCTCTTTCTCTCTCCTAGGCAAGCACACACATGCATGCAGGGTGCTGCTCTAAAATGTAGCCATGGCAACAGGGTGGGCTAAGCAGCTTTCGTCAGTGTTGGCAGGGCGCCAGCGTCTGTCCTCCACTCCCTCCCCCATCCCTTTCCTCGCCTCCTCCTCCACCTCACTTGTTACCAATCCACCATTTGCACTTTTTTGAAACAGCTAAATGGTTAAAATTTCAACAATTCACTATGTTTATTCTACAGCTGTACCGCACCTGTTCCAGGATATGTGCCGCTTACATTTACATAGAGGCTCTAATTTGATATGCTCTAGTTTTATGTGTTTGAATGTGTTTGCTTCCTTGTTCCTACTGATGAGTCGAGATAAAGTTGGTACTTTCATTATGCTTTATTAGTTGATATGGACAAAAGGCACCACTAAAGAAAAAAAGAGTGCAAAAACAAAGCAAAATAAAATAAGTGGAAACACAGCAAAAACACAAAATTCTATACTACAATTGTCATGACTTCTTTGTCTAACATTTTCAAAACTTTTAATCTACTTATATATTGTTCATTCCCCAGCATATATACATAAAAATCACTATGCAGACAACATAACTATAGTACATAAAAACAGATAATGAAATAAAACAAGGCTTTAGTTAAGTATTGTATGTGAATAATATAGTCATACTGCCAATATTAAGTTGTACATCCAATTTAATAGATTTTTTTTTTTTTTTTTTACAAATTTATTCTGATAACTTGAACCTTTCCATATTGTGTCATGCACCAATCAGATTTACTTGCACTTAACCAAACCTTCAGTGATAAACTAGGCTACAATTAAGGCAAAAAGTGGAAGGAAATTGAATTATGGCTTTCTTTATTTTTTGGTTTTTACCAAGTTTGGCCTTTATTTTGATTGTTAAAAGCGGGGCAGTGGGTAGCACTGCTGCCTTGCAGCAAGAAGATGCTGGGTTTGATTCCTGGCCCGGTGTCTTTCTGCATGGAGTTTGCATTTTCTCCCTGTTCGTTCCGGGTACTTTGGCTTCCTCCCACGGTCCAAAAACATGACTGTTAGATTAATTGGCTTCTCTAAATTCTCCTTAGGTGTGAGTGTGTGTGTCTGCATGAATGGTTGTTTGTCCTGTTGGGCTCTGTGTTGCCCTGCAATGGACTGGTGACATGTCTAGGGTGTACCTCGCCTCTCGCCCGTAGACAGCTGGATATAGGCACCAGCACCCCTCGTCACCCTAACAGGGATGAGTGTCATGGAAAATTGATGGATGGATGAATTAATGTTTTTCAAATTTCACATTTTTTCTTTTGAGTTTGCCAAACTTTCAATGTTATTGCAACTTGGAATACTAACATTTTCATATTCAAGTAAAGGTATTTGTTACCTGGGTAAATTTAATAAAAAAAAAAAATGTTTTATTCATTTATTCCTAAGTTTCATACCACTGACCTTTGGGGTCTTACCAAAGAGTAAAAACCCCTTTTTGCTAACCACTAGACCAGCTTCTGACGGTTGTAGTTCCTGACTATTAGTAACTTAACTATGAGTTATAAAAACTTTAAATAAGAAAAAGTTAAGGAGCTTGACAGTCATTCTACTAAAAAGTATATTATTCTATTTGGTAGGATCTCTTTAGCAGGTGTTTTATTGTTAAAATTGGACATTAAAAGAACACTAATTCTGTAACTCTAAAGATAACCCCAAAAAGTGATGTTTTTTGTCCACGCTTCGAATAAAACCCCCGTAAAATGTAGCATGTATTCATTGTAGCAAATGAATACTACAACTAACTTGGTTTTGTTTTCCCTATTGTAAACAGTATTTGTTTAAGCTTTTCACCAGTGAAAAAAAACGTTTTTCAGCCCCAAAAAAAGAAAGTTGGCCATTTTTGTTTGGTTGAGTTTTTTTTTTTTTTTTGCTTTTTTTTTTTTGCTTTTTATAAATCAATCCAGGTTAATTAAGGTTGTCAATGTTTTTTTTGTTTGGTTGTTTGTTTTGTGGGTGGAGGGGGGGNCTACAACTAACTTGGTTTTGTTTTCCCTATTGTAAACAGTATTTGTTTAAGCTTTTCACCAGTGAAAAAAAACGTTTTTCAGCCCCAAAAAAAGATAGTTGGCCATTTTTGTTTGGTTGAGTTTTTTTTTTTTTTTTTTTTTTTTTTTTGCTTTTTTTTTTTTTGCTTTTTATAAATCAATCCAGGTTAATTAAGGTTGTCAATGTTTTTTTTGTTTGGTTGTTTGTTTTGTGGGTGGAGGGGGGGGGGTGCTTTTTTCAATTCAATCAAGTTTATTTTTATAACACTAATTCACAGCACATATCATCTCAAGTCACTTTACATAGATAATACAGTCAGATTGGTTAAAAGTTTAATTTAAGGAAATTAAGTTGATTAGATCGAGTGATTGACATTCCAGTGCAGCCCAGCCAGTTACACTTCAGAATTTACCTAATTATCTTATCTAGTATAAAATAACTCAGTTAACAGAAAAACTATATCACAAGTACCAAGGAACCAGACAGCTCCCTGAGCTATAAAGAAAATGGTTGTTCTACAAAATAAGATCCTCAGCTCCAGAGGAGCTACAGAGATTCACAGCTTTGGTGGGAAAATGACCCACTGACACATTAACTATTATTAGAGGGCTTCAAAAATGATAGAAATGCCTTTACAGTTTCAGAAAAGTGTAGCAAATAGTTTAGTAAAATGTACAGCACAAGACATTGTTGAAAAAAAAAATGTAATTTGTATTGTCAGTATTGATAGTATTGATATAGGAGGTTAAACTAATCCAGACGATTACATTAACTTCCTAACAATAGGTCAGTTATGATAAAAAAAAATGAAAAATATACTAAGTGTAGGACAACCTTAGAAAACAACAAACTGAACTTATCTGAATTGAAAATCTGAAAATCAACAGGATTCATTAATTAATATGTCCAATAACCAGATTAATTAGTGTTAGCAATAGCGAATAAAAATGAATTTATGTAGTTTAATGAGAAAAAGTAAAAACAGTCTTAAAATCTGATGTGATTACTTTTCTTTCTGCAGTCACCTATTGTGAAAAAAAGTTTTGACATGTATTTGAAAAATTTGCAATTTTAAAATAATCGAAAACCCGCCTCACCCTAGTGAAGAGACTTTTAATGAAAAAGGTACATTTCTCATAACTAATGTGTTTCCATCAAGGACATTTTTTTCCTAATCAAAATTTGCGTCATTGGATAACATTAACGCATTATCAGTGTAAAATGTAACTCTTAAAACCCACCGGGTTTTAAGAGGTTAAATTTAAGAGGTTAAATGTGCAAACTTGTCTGTAACCCGGTGGGTTTTAAGTGGGGGTTATAATTCTGAATGCATAAAATTCCACTGGTGAACTTTTTACCAGCAGTTGAAGCCATTGCGCGCAGCTCCAAGCTGACACCAAAAGTTCCAAACCCCACAGCTCTGGAACTGTCATAGCTAGAGGTCTGAAATTTTCTGCATTTTTGGTTACCATGATGTAGAACACATATAATACAATGAAACCCGATTTTTATTACTGCTGTTAAAAAAAGACCTATCATTTCAAGAAAAGAAAAAAACAACAACTTTGAGTCATGTTTGAACTGATGCAGGTTGATCTGTGTT